CACACACACACACACACACACACACACACACACACACACACACACACACACACACACACACACACACACACAACAGACACACACACACACACACACACACACACACACACACACACACACACACACACACACACACACACACACACACAGCAGACACATTCATCAGACACACTCAACAGACACACACTCAACCGACAGTCACTGACAAAACACACTCAATCAACATATACTCAACCAACACACACTTAACTAACGTACACTCAACCAACACATACTTACAAAACACACACTTAATCAACACATACTTAGCCGATACACACTTACAAAACAATGCGCACACACACACACACACCCTCCACAGTGTGCTCATTTGCATTTCTGCTCTTCTCAATCCTATCACACCTGACAAATTGTGTAGAAAAAACAGGGTGTGTGTGTGTGTGTGTGTGTGTGTGTGTGAAGGGTCATGCCGTCTGATCCGTCTGGGAGGCTCAGGTTTGGTCAGTCTTTGTGTTTGCTGGTAATAATGCTTTGTTCATGATAAAATCAAAACAGAGCAGTCTAACAAAGAGCAGTCTAAAAATACACCTGTGTGTGTGTGTGTGCGTGTGTGTGTGTGTGTGTGTGTGTGTGTGTGTGTACTCACAGTGCATTGTTCTGCAGTAAGGCCAGCTCTCGCTCTACAGGTTTGACTGTGAACAATAGAAAGCAGATTAATGACGGAGAGGAAGAGAAACGCAGCCAGAGGTCACCAGGATTAATGAAGACATTCACAACAGCAGGAGGAGGAGGAGGACGCCTTTATTCCAGCAGTTTCTGGGGATTATATCATCTCAACATCTGACATGTGGAGTAATGACTTACACAAATCAAACTGAAGTCACTGTGATTCAAGAACTTCTCCACTGAACAGACACATAGAGCGAGATCACCGCGCACGTTCAGCTCAGGCTTCAATCAACTTTTCCTTAACGCTGTCAATGAATCCAACAGTTGTGTGGAAATCACTGCAGTTCTTTGTGTTTTTAATATAAATCATGCAGAATGAGTCTATTTTCCCACTAAAGCAGGTCACGTTCATCCAGACCACTGAATAAAGGAATGAAGTGAGGAATGAGTTCATCAGAAAACAGCAAGAAGAGGAGCAGAGCACTCGTGTTCTTACTTTATTCAGATATTCTACAGACTCACTCAAAATAATTCAGGAAAACACTGACAGAACATGCTCTGTGTGTGAAGTGTGCTGTCAATACTGTGACTCATAATAATGCAGTATATTATTATTATTATTATTATTAT